CCGCTCCCGTGGTCGGATATGCCCTAATTCGCCCTCTCTTGCGAATATTGATAGGAAACCTTCTTCTTCAAACATACAAAGCACATTTGAAACATTCGAAGCATTTTTATCTATTGTACAATTTTGCCATCATCCCCAAACACACCTCAAGTCTGCGAGTGTCTCGAGATTACCCGTCACTTATCGGGCATTTACATTAATCGCGAACTATCAACGGCGTGCGCAATAAACGCGCGGCACAGTCATATGCGCATTCTACATAACTCAGATCGACTGTACGTTCAGTCAGGGACGTTCTTCGTCTCGCGAACGACGCAGGGCATTCGAATACTCGCGGAAAATTCCTCGGATGCCCAGAGGATTTTCATAGTCGACGGCTTCGCGCCGTGCTGGCGCCGCTTCATTTCCGCGTCTTTGAGATCGTCGGACCTGACTGCTCGCGCGCCGGCCACGGCGCGTGCTTCATTGGCGTAAAAATCGCCAGGGACAAACGTGCCGAATCCTTTTTGCCGAATCGCGTGACCCGACGACACCGCGGGGAAAACGAGGAGCGTGCATCGCACTTTTCTTACTGGTGAGTGAAAGGCGATATTAAGCTGAATCGCTCGTAGCTCGCTTCGGCTTATGCAACAACCTTCGCGACGGCGGCGGCGGCGGCGGCGGCGGCGGCGGCGAAATGAAATTTGGACGTTGCACGCGAGTGCAATTTCTTCTTGTTCTAACATTCTTGCGGCCGCGCTATCCGGATATCACTTCAGGGAATGTGCATTCGCATGATTACTAACGAGCTTTTAAATCGTTGCCCTTTCTTATCACCTTTGTGTGCGTTTCCTATTTTGGGATATTATCCCAAGTGTTTTCGGTGTAATGCGGAAAGCTGTTTAATTAAAATTATAATTTTCAGCGTCGAAAATTTAGCAAGAGAAATTTACACGCGGATCTGCCAAATTGTGCCGACAAATTTATCGCATTTTAAACTCCGTTGATTTATTTACGTTAAGGAGTGCATTGATATCGCCAAGCGATCAAAAAATTTCCTATTTTTGTATCGAGTACACGGATTTTAACGTTCATCATCCAGTTTATGTCAATAATATTAATATCCGATTGGAGATATGTCAATACTTTCTATAACATACGCTAAATTTAATATTTGTGACTATTGAATTTAATCGTTTTTTCTGTTTTTTTCTTTTTTTTTTACGTCGTTTTTTTACATCCATTTAATGCCGTTTCGTCAGATATTTTCTATTCGCGGATAACAACGATTAAATAGATAATTGACTGTGACTCGGGGACATTAATGGACAAGCTCTCGACTCGTGGTCGCTGCATTAAAGTTAAGAATAAAGTTATGAGAAGTCGACGAGGGTAGAATAATAGCCGAGATTTACTACAATGAAAAACAGTCTAAATGCATCGACGAAATACGCGGGTTTCCCTAATGTTTCGTCGGCGAGATTAGCACTCGTGCGAATAAGTAAGTCCTAAAATCAACGATTACGCGACCTCGTCGAGAATTTGTCGCGAGTCCTCGCTCAAATCGTATCTCGATCTCAAAGTTGTTGGATATCGATAAGTGATTCAGACAGTCGCGTTTCCGAGTTTCGAAGATGAATCATGAAGTTGTAGAGAAAGTTCAAGATTATTAAACTTCGCGGTCGGATTTTGGTCTATATAGCTTTAATCTGAAGCCACTTTGACTACACCGAGGCTTCATCGTTTCCATGGAATTGAGTTAATTACGTGCTTCATTAATTTCCACTGGTGCGCATTCTCTTATCAATCAACGCGCATGACTCTGCGTAAATAATGCACGAAATTCATGATGTACATGTAAGATGTTTCGTATACCTTGGCCTCCTGAAATATACCTGTCGTGTTTGATGATGCAATAAAATGTCGATGGTATGAAGAAAGCATACATTTTTTACTTTTTCATTTTACCCGAACATGTATTTCCCACGTGAAGAATCATCTGTCGGTTATATTGTTATAGATTACTGAAATCCATTCGATGCTGGCTATAAAATTGTCTACAAACAAAAATATATGATTTCATAAAAAAAAAAATTATCTTGATCTTGAAATCTTTGGAGAAATAACCTTCAGAAAAAATATTTCTATTTCTATTATCACTTTTTTCCAGGCATTTGTTCGTATCATTAATTAAATCCAACAGAAATATTGCGAGTAGTCAAAATATATGAAACATCCTGTATATACATAACGCAGGATTCTAGCGGAAAAAAATGATTAATTCTTATGCTCGTTACGCTTTCTATCGTAGGCAGATGATAAATGAATATTACTCACCGACAGTTATGGCGCGTCAATGAGAGTCAAGTGCATAGCAATGCGCAGAATTGTTTGTACGCTCATACTTTAATTTTCGGGGGTTTTCGCGAGAGGAGGCGTAAAAGTGCCGTGCTTATTTTACATTGACTCGACGCAAGATGCGATTGCAACAAGTTCGAATTTTATTTATCACGCGGATGTAACACGCGCGCGCACGAGCGCATAAATATACGCGCGCCTTAAGCGCGGCGCCGCGGAATGCGATGCATTTTGCAATTATCGTACATTAGCTGCGTCTATATCGAGAAAACCGATTTGAAAGGCCGATAAGGGCATGTGGAATATAATTGTAAGTTCGAATAAGTGCGCGTGAAATAAAAGCTACGTTGCGCCAACGCGATTTCACGCGCAATGTGCGCAGACACGGGCGGATTCCAAGGAAATCACAATAAGGCCGTCTTAACCGACTATCGCTCTTTAATCGTTGGCGTTAAAGAATCTTCCGTATATGCCGTAAAAGGAAAGGCAATTACCTATATAATTATCCGAATCGCGAGATTCAGTACGATATTTATTTGAGTAAAAGGAAGAAATTTCTCTCTCCTGAGTTTTTTCCTAAGTAGCAGAAACGTGTCAAATGAAAACTGATGGACCATATTTGATCGATTCAAGTTTATTATTAGGCTGGAGTTGATTATCGTGAATTATTATGTGATGCATTAATTAAAATATTGTTAATTTCGTCATACCTAAATGAATTTAAGCAACAGATAGAAATATTTGATTATTAAAGTCAGAGATAAATTCGAATTTAGTGCGCTTCCTCTTGCGCGATTTTAAATTATCTCATTTATATGGGTTTTTGCATAATTAACACGTGACGAGCCTTTCTATTTTAATGGGAATATAATCGCATGTGTTTCTCATATTTATTTTATAAGTATTAAATACACGATATTTCTGTGCGTTTTTAATACCGCCTGAATTCTTTGATAATTTTCTTTGTCTTTTTTTGTTTCGTTAAATATCTTGTCGTCTTAAGCTTTCTTTACGCGTATCTTGTCGTCTTAAATCACGTTGTTTAACGCGTTTAAACGCGTTAAGTGATATCGAAATGCATCAAATGACGTGATTTCAGATGACAAGAAAAGCGTGAAGAAAGCTTCAGCTTATACATGTCAAAATAACACACTCGGGTTTACAGTGTATTGATCCGCGAAATTCGCGGTAACAAAACGGAAAATATATATTAACGTCGCTTTGAGAACATGCTGTCTTTTGAAAGGCGCAAGGTCGACTGACTTTATGAGGTCTCTAATTCTGCAATCAGCTTCATGAAGTTTCTAATTGTTTAACCAAATTTTGGACGCATGCGACGACGAAACGTGCGCGTATCCGAGTACCTCGTTGCCGCTGAATTACAATTTTACTTTATACAATTTCATCGTCGCGAGCTCTCTCTCTCTCTCTCTCTCTCTCTCTCTCTCTCTCTTCTTTCTCCTCCTGCTTCTCTATCCTCCAACACTCCGTCATGATATTTGCATACTTCTTATTCGTACGCATCCTCACGAAAGAGGGACGCCTTGTTGATTGACTTGACACAGTTTGCACGATCACCGTATTCGGCGCAAACACGTCACGAAGGTGGACGAGGTAATTGTTTTTTCCGCGCCTTAAAATACGCCTTCGAAATAGTCACTTACTCGTGACTTCATCCGTTCAAGTGTATAATTAGCATGATTTACAAAGAAGGAGATATCCGCGTTACTTTTTAATTTATGCAAACGACCACGTGAAAAAGATAATCTGATAGGCGTAACTGATTTTCAATTCTCTAGCAGATAAAAACTCAGAAGAAACAAAAAGATTCATCTAAGAGCTTTCTATTCAGTCAATTGTTCTCACATTAGTTAATAACAGAGATGTTGTTTCTTGTCATCGAGTTCCCTCTGCGTCTCATTCTGTTGTAACGAACCGAGATTTTCTTTCCCGTACAGGTCGATTCCTTATTTTCTTATTAATTACACGCTTCCGCGTTCCATGTTAATCTTACGGGATACCTGCTGAAAATCCAGAAGCAAATGAAGCTGAGATGCAACTTGGAGATTATAAAATATTCAAATATTCAATTCTCGAAGGAGCGGGTTTTGCGTCAAAGTGGACTTCGAATGCCGCGCGAAGCATTACCGAGCTCAAGGAGCTAAAGACGGAGCTTCGTTTGCTATGTTAGCAAAGGACTCGAGATGGATCGTATCGATGATCTGTGAAATTTTCCTGCTCGTCTACGACGATGCCTCGCAGCAATGTAAACGGCGGGCAGGCTCCGCCGGTTTACTTACAGTAACAATAGCAAGACGTTCATCAAACCGTAACAGTCCTTACTCCTTCGACAAACTGTAGCCATCATGCTTGATTCATGGATCCAGTGATTCCAGTGAATTTGCCCCTTGGCTTTACTTAACCGGCGAATCGCGCGGGGGGTAGATATTATCTGGGAAATTAAAGGTCCAAGACGGCTAATTTTGTCGAGACCTTCACGAGTTCGCCGGCACAAAAATATTTTTAATAAACGAGACAGAAGCTTTTAATTAACGAAAGTGGTAAGCCAGCTGTATAAGCTCGGCTTATTAATGGATTCAGCTGGATATACGGCAGCTGCGCGGCTCTCGTTACTTTTCATCCTTTCATGAGGATGTTGAGATTGTTCTAAATTTCTGCGTGATACATCCTCACGCTGAGAATCCTGCAAACAGATAGTTTAAGGTGTAGAAATGTAAGTGGCCAGATCTCCGCGAGCGCGAGGAGATTCGACGAATTTATACGGTCGTAAAACCTCGGGTACTAGATCGCGTGACTACAACGTGGAGGTAGGACAGATCGATCGGAGTTGGGTTGGAAAGTAAGAAAGCGAGACCGGAAACGTAATGAAGAAGCGTCGACTAATTAACACACCTAGTGTCAAGATACCTTTGTAGCCTAGTGATTACTAAGCCTCGACTACAAATCCGACGGAGCCAGATCTATGGAGGGAGAAGAGACATTCACCGTACTGTCGTTCGTTTAAACGAACAACTGCTAAATTTAGATAATCAAATCGTGAACACGAAACTCGTCGATACGATAATACGTTAAAACGTTTGACAAAATTGCGACATCTTTATGGTAAGGAGTTCCGTGTGACACTACGTGCGGAGAGAATGTACGAGGAGACATAAAGTTTTACGGTGTTTCAATATCCAAGAGCGTTATCATACGGCAGTGCATTATCATATGATCCTGGCGAGAGATGCTTCTACGTTCAGCGGAGTTGACAATGGAGAGGTGTATTCTATCCTATAGCTGATTTCGAGACGATACGACGGGATCAGCGCAAACAACGTTTTCCAACAAATTTCGACAACCCCAACGGCGGAGCGGATTAAAGCCGGGAATAACGAAGGGAAGTCTCCTAGAGGAACATTTAAAATTAAGAAAATGTAATACACAGTGGAGGTGAGATTAGAGGGAAGGATAAAATTAATGTTTCCCCGTTAGCTCTGCGTAAAAACAAAACAAAAAAAATCAGCTGTAACGCGCCGAATGAAAAGAGACACAAGAAATGGACAATGCGGTTTCAAAGTCCTCTTCGGCGTATCTCATAAATCTTATTTATCTCCCGAACCCGACAGTAAAAAATGTGTTCAGTCCAGGACCGCTCGTGCATACTGACTGTTTCCCCTCGTGCCTGTCCTAAATTTAATCTCCGGGGAAGCCACTTCATCCTCAACGTTCGAATTTGTCGCGGGACTAATCACAGCGAGAAAAAATAACGAGACAATCGTGTTATTATAATATTGTCACTCGCGTGTTATCGCGTTGTCACGACAGCGTTGGCGACAACAACGGTCGCATAACTCAATCCTGACGCGCTGAAATTGCCTGGTTAGGCCGCTCTGCGAAGAGCCAACCGTCAACCAACGTTTCTAGTCTTTCATTTTCAGCTTTCAGAGGTGGAGAGATTCAGGGCAGAAAGAGGATGAAAGATAAAGCGGCGAGCGGTTGTGTTCCCTTGAATATGCAACGAAATAATATATCGCCAGTCCGATATCCAATACATCTCCAACAATGAGTTCCCTTTCGAATTATCGCGCTTTTGTTTCCCCGCTATTCGGTATTTTCTGTTCTCTTCAACTCTTTCTCGCCCATCACCCGCAATTTCGGCACGAAATCGCAACGAGGAACTCGCGGAGCGTTAAGGGATTGTGGATGTGTTATTTCGACGCACAAATTCACACACACGCACGCGCGCGCGCACAATTACGGTATTATCTTATTAAAAGAATATTGAGTGAGCGACACTTATACAGGTAAATTAAATAAATCGACCCATCTCTCTAAAATCAATTTCAAATTTACGCATTTTTATGCGATCGATGATATTTAGAATACGATATTTTTCTCTCATGTATATTATGTCGGATTAAATTTACAGATAACGGAGAATTCATCGGAAACGAAAAGTAGGACACGTACATATACACACATCCCTCACGGGTGGAAAACTTGTTAATGGAAATTTTTAATTATTGAATAGCTAAAATGTATTTACCGCAGCGATTGAAGTTAATTACGAAGTGCATTTATTCTGAAGCGCTGCCGCATTAAGAGATCGATATATTCGCACCTTGAAAAAACAAATTATAGAATTAACGAAATAAACAAGTGTGCGTATATGAAATTGGAGCAATTCGCGCATCATATAGCTCTCTAAATAATCCGTTCTGTTAAAATTTCATTCGTGAAAAACTGAAATTTATATGATATGACCACATCTCAAAACAAGATGCACCTTCATAGCAATGCGATAGCAATGCAACTGCAGAATGCGCGCAAGGTCAATGAGACTGACGTGCGATGAAAGAGGCAAAGGCAGAAACGAATCGAAAAACATGAAAGAGGAACAGACGCGCGTCACGACAATACGAGAAAGCTTGTAAGGGGATAAGAAGGCTCAACTGCCTTAAAAGACGATTCTAAGATACGAGCTAGAGAAAATAAGAAGAGAGGAAAAGAGAGTGAAAGAGGCAAGAGTAAAATGGAAATGAACGAGATAGAAGAAAGAACAAAGTAAGGCATAGGCTGATAACAAAAGATGCATTGTTTGAGACAAGGAAGTCGCAATGGAAGACTCGTCTAAATTGTTAAAATCCGGTAAGTAATCGAGAGAGAGAGAGAGAGAGAGAGAGAGAGAGAGAGAGAGAGAGAGAGAGAGAGAGAGAGAGAAAGAGAGAGAGAGAGAGAGAGAGTAATCCAGAATGTTGGACTGACTTTTTTTTCTTTTAATATTGAGTGAGTGCAAAAATTTTGATAAATTTCATGATAGAAAAATGTGTATGGACTAAATAACTTTATTAAAAGCTGTTTATTCTCGTTCTTTATTAAGTAATCGCCATTCTTTTTTTATTATGTTTGATGTGTAGGAGGGGGTGGGTAATAATAACGGCTCTTTCGGAAACAAGATACTGAAACGTAAAGTAATTGGGGCGTATATTTCCGATTGCATGTTATTGGGGCCAAGGGCTAGGCTAGATTAAAGATGTTTATCGATATTCGAAATTATCGAATATTCGATATTTTTTTATTTTTTCGATATACAAATATCGAATAGAAAAGATATGAATAAAAAATCGAATAATTATATTTTTCAGCGAATATTTATTGAATATTTTTTTTAAAGTGATTTTTTTAATATAAAGCTAAAGTCAGTAGCAGTACGGTGCTTGTTTTCATGCTAGTTTTAGTGACATACTAGAAATGTTACATTCTGATTGGCTGCGTTCAGCAGAACAAAGTGATCAGTGAGCACTTAGTGATTCTCGCTCCTGATTGGTAAATACTTCTGCGTCTATGAAGAATCTAAAAGAATGCTCCAGTCACAGACAATAATCACTAAGCGCTCACTGATCATTTTGTTCTGCTGAACGCAGCCAATATTACATATAACGTGCATGTTAATAGTAATTTCCTACTCAACAATAACAGTTATATTGTTGAGTAGAAAATTACAACTAACATGCACGTTACATGTAATATTAGGCCTGTTCGTTTTGTCTGCACTGTTGAACTGGTGCAACAAGTTGAAGTGAGAAAACCTACGTTTGTCTCACTTTTTAACTTAATGCATCAGTTCAGCAGTGCAGACAAAACGAACAGGCTTATTGTGTTTGCTGGGTTCTTATTGGCTACCGATTATTGGCTATTCGATATTTATTCGATATTTTGACTGCTTATTCGATATCGATATGGTTACTTTTAAATTTGGCGAATATATTCAAATGCGATATTTTTTCTCGATATCGACATCTCTACGGCTAGACTGTCGGACCGCTGTCCGCTCGCTGTGCCTCGCATCTTCCTTTGTTTTCGCGGGGGAAGACGCTTTTCTCCTCCCGCGAGCGATTGGTCGTACCCCTCGCGCGCTCGTCGTGCGCTTCGCACGTGTGCTTCTAGGAATCGCGGCGTCTAGCAGTCGTTACCCGGAATCTGCAACTCGTCCAGGAAAACAGAAATTCGCGTCTCGCTCCTATACCTAAGATTACTACAGATGTATCATACATACATTAACATGTTTGTGATGACATAAAATGGATCAATCACAGCTTGAAAAATCCATCAAGATTTATGCTTACTCATTCTTACTCATATTCGTCCTATTTCCATTTCTATTTCTCTATTAATCAAAAGTTGAAGATCGTAGAAGATTTGTAGCGCGCAAAATTTCTCCTTGTAGGAGAATTCTTTTCGTTTAACGTGCGTATAATTTTTTGCCACTTTCCTTAAATATACGGAACACATTTACAAGGCGTGTGTGATTATTACAGTCGCGTTTGATTACGAATTATGTACAAAATTTGACAGTTTCTCTGTATATTCGCATTTAGTTATCTCTATTGTAAATTCCGCGTCGGAAATTTCTCCGCCGCGCGAAATTATGGGATATTTCTTGCATGTTACAGCGAGAAGCCAGGTTCTTTGGATCATTTTCCGAATTCTATCACTCGTTAGCTGACGTTTGTTTTCATTTCTCATGCGTGCTTTAAGGTAAGTTTTGCTCTACACAAGTGCAGCGTAACGAGTCGCACCATGTGTGCGAGTACCAGCAATAAGCAACAGCTGGTCCATGTCGTATCTTCTATCCGAATAATTCGCGTGTTATAAACCCCTCTTCTCGTATTCTCCCTTCTGTTGCCGTTTAATACTTTTCATATCGCGCAGACCGGATCTTTGTGTTCTATCTCAACTACCCCGTGCCTCGCGAGATAAATAATATAAAAGTATCGTTAGAGCTCGTAAGAGGGAATTTATGCGAAACATTTTCAAAAATCCACGTGCAAGCTACACGTGTCGGTCAAATTAATATCTCGTGGGAATCGTTAGACACACTTAAAGGTAATATCAATTTTCTAAATTGCAATAATATTCGCTTATCGTGTGCGGTAATGTTACACCGAATACGAGCTTCAGCGAATACACAGCTTATTACGAATTTCTATATCGAATGGTAATCACGTGGAGCGTGCATGCGATCGCTACGCCGACATCGCCGCACGTAAATGCACGTGAATGCACGTGAATGCACGTGTGTGCAACGCGCGCCCACTTCGTGCGTGCGCGCGTTGCGCCAAGTTCTCGTAATAAAACCGGACCTCAGCGTCTACGCCTTTTCCCGTTCTGCAGCCTGTTCTCGTTTCGATCTTCGCAGGAAGCATTGCCGCCGCGAATTAGATCATCCACCGACGAGAGCCGTGAGATAGTCCGATTGAATTTCCGAATGCCCTAGAAACACAATCCTGAAACGGGTGCTCGCCTCTAACGTAACGGAGCCGGGCTATTTTATCGGGATTGATTACGCAGCGCAACGAAATTCAGTTTGCGACTAGGCTGGCGTGATGGATTAAAAATGTCCGGAACTGATTGTTATCAGCGGCGAATGATACTCGGCATCGATATGACATCGGCGAATTTTAATTTTGCCTGCTTCCTGCGTTTTTACGCGTACGCGTGAACATTAGCAGATTCAAATTTTTCTCGGATTTCTAATTTCTTTTATAACTTCCCGTTGTGGCAAAGGCTAATAACAATTATAGATATTATTACAGATATTATGAGCACGGAATATCGGTAATAAAGCGGGAGTCGTGCGATCGCGGTTTACAATTACAGGATGTTATTATAGATATTACGAGCTCGGAGTATACTACTAGCTGTTATATAAACTGTCCTTTTTTTCTTCTTTTTCCTTTTTAGTTCATACCAATGAGAAGAACAGAGGTAGTGACCGCGTTGCGGGGAGAAATGGCGTGCGCCAATAGTTCCAGCAGATCGGTACACGTTGAGCTGGTGCTCGCGAGGTATCCCGGTGCAACTACATTTGTGTGAGTGTCATTACTCTCGTCATGCTCCATAGGAACACTTTCACTGCCTTTTAGCTTAAAGTCCATCGAACACGATCGACTATACACGTTGCGGGAAAATCTGCTAGCAACGTTCGGTCGATCCGTGATCTTTTTGCAGTTTGCAAAATATGCTGTCATTAAACGTTATACGCGAAAGAAAGAATTGTTTATGACGCAAACGGTATCTCGGGGCATGGTTTTTCTGTATTATGCGCTGTGTTGTTAATTGCATATTCATGCATCATGTAATTCTGATAGTTAAGATTTTGGCACTTCAAATAATATAAATGAAGTTTATTCAAATATTTTTTAAATATTTAGTTCCTGAAGTACAGGTCAATATGTCTCATTCCTCATATTAAACTTTTTAGAAATTGACTGACACAAGTTATATAAGAAAAAAAGAAGAAGAAGAAGAAGAAGAAGAAGAAGAAGAAGAAAAAGAAGAAGAAGAAGAAGAAAGGAAAAGTATTATTGGCAAAGACAAGGAGTCACGTGAGGGCAGTTGATGTACTAAAATTCGTCCGACGGCAATGTTAGATCATAATGTAGTGACAGGAAGTACGGCGAAGGGTTTAATGAACGATCTCGTAATCACGGACGTGCGTAGCAAGTAGTGCCAGCAATGTACTGTCTGAGAACCCATGTCAGTTAATTAACCTCAACGGAAGCCTATTCTTCACGTCGACGGTTTAATTAAACAACGGTTATCTGGCGAATTAAGATAATACCGCGTATTTGTAATCGAAGACGGAAGAGACGTGCCATTTAACAGAACGCAGCGATAAATCACACAAAAATATATGTAATAGCTGTTATATATCTCCCCTTGTTAGATATAACGAAATATAATATCGTAATAAGTGATACACTTAAGTATAAAAAAACGTTTCATGAATTCAGTAGTGCCTATAAACATTTCGACCGAGACATTTATAGGCCTTTTAAAATGGGCGTAGGTGTTAATCCGGAGAAAGGCAGAAAAGTTGCAAAAGATCTTTAACGTGATAACATAGAGCCAGTTTTATGGGACGGTAAAACTTGGAATTCCGAGTTTAAAATCGCCGACTTTGAAATACTTTGATATGACTTCCGTTGCAAGCGTTAACGAACCACAAGGAACCATATCGGTGGAAATTTATTTGGAGATATTCTCTCGATTGCACAGGAAAGCAAAACGTTTCCTTCAATAATCTCGCCGTAATCGCAGCCATTACCAATTAGGAAATTAATGAGAGAGGTTAAAGCGCGGTTGCGAGAAATCACGCTGATTTTTAACGAAAGCACACCGATTGATTCGTTCGCTCTCATTTCCCCATCAGGACAATGGATCATCGAAGGTAAATTAGGACAGTCGTTTTGCATCGATTTACATGGACGATAAATTGTTCCTAAATTGCATGCCATTCTCTCATCAAATAGCATAGCGACGAGTTAACACAATATAGTCGATTAGAATCTATGTTTGGAATCTATGTTTTGTCATCGTTCCCTTCTGACTTTATTAGTGTCTCAATATTCTTTACATTCTGCTGTAACTTTACTCTCAGATTAGATATCTGTTATTTATTGTCCATCGTAAATCAAATAGTTCGTCTCTTATTCGTGGTTTCCTATTTGTAATTTTTTATTGCATCTTGTCCTTTAGTGTCGAAAATGGAGCAGAACGTCTCGGCCGAGTTGGTAGCTGGACAAAATCCAACTCGCCTTTCGCCCGCGAAATTCAAGACTGGAGTGCGGTACGCGGCATATCGATTTCCACCTACGATGCTTTTCTATCGTGCGATTCCGGCTTGTTGCGGGTCATACATAACGTTGCAGCGAAGGCGTAGTCGTCGACACGCCCGAACAATTCCCACAGCATTGGAGAACCGAAGCGAATGGTCACCATTATGGTGCTCACCGTGACATGTTACCAGTAGTCAGATGGTAAGTTTAACTATTGCTTAATCCCACTTTTTAAAGGATATCCACGACAATTTGCACACAATGCAAATTGCTTGCGTATTGAGTAATACTAATTAAATTTTTTAATCAATATTAATAATATTTTTTATAGAATTCTTATTCTTGATGCAAATAATGCAAGATCGCTAAGAATTTGAAATAGCTATTTCCAATACTTGTCCAATACTTGTCCAATCGTTGAAGTTAAATCATGAAAATAAGTAATCAGGACTAAGATGAAAAGTAGGATATTGGAGAACCGTAATTAAACGTGTTTGCGTCGAGCGTAAAGCGTATTAATTGCCAACGTTTTTACAAATTCCCCAAGTTAAAGAAACAATAATAAATTTGTACCTCTGTTTAATTAAACATGTTCAAAAATTTAAAAAGTTCACGACAAAGCGGATAAAAAATATGGAGAGCGAATAAGTAGAAGATTTATTGATAAATGGCCACTTTGGAGGAAGCGATGAAATAAATACAATCACTATAGATGACTTAACTTCTGCAAATTTTTTTCAGAAAAAAGAATCGTCGTTCCCCTCAAGAAAAATTTATCGACTTAAAGTTGAAATCAACTATGTAAGTAATTTCACGTCCATAAGATATTTATAGTCGCAAGTTGCCCGACTCGTTTATCTGCAGGAAAAAAAGAATTGTACGTCGAAAATTCATCGCAAGGATAAACATGTATAGCTATTAAGATAATCGATAGTAAATATTAAAAAGTCATAGAGACACATTCACGATCGATGAAATGTGCAACAGTTTCACCGTTTCCGAATTGATTGCAGGACTCAGATGGAGCGAGTAATTCGAGGAGGATTCCGTATTTATACCACAGCGCGCGACAAACGCGAAACCTCGTCGTTTAATAACCGCTCGCCAGATTCTCGTCGTCTACGAGAAAGTTCCAAGATGAAAGTAAAATTACCAGTGTGTTCAACGTTAATTATGAGCGTTCGTACAGCGGAATATCTATGGAGCACCTCAAGTGGATTTCAGCGTGTCGAGCTGTACACACCGCCTGCCAACTACGCTGAGCTTCAGAAGAAGGAGGATAAACTTCGCGCTGCATAACCGGCCGCTTAATTAATTTCAAACCCGCGTCTTAAGGGCGGGTCCGATTTGCCTTGAGGTAGCAAGGCAAGTCTCGCTTAGCTCGCCCTTAAAAGAAAGCCCGGTGAGTGATAGTCATCGTTAGTCACCTCGCTCCAATGCGTTTCCCCGAATTTATCTCCGGTCCGACCGTGCTGGATTTATTTTTGGCATGATAAGTGGACCTTTCTATCGTCAGGAAGCAGAGAGGGAAGATGAAGAGGAGCGGAGATATGCTATGGAAGGGAGGGTTGCGAGGATGAGAGAAGAGAGTCCGTTAGCCGCACGGAGGAGGGAGCGGGAGAGACTATACCGACGATAGAGATGGTCACTGCGCCGTGAACTGGCTTTTCAACTCGTTCTCCACCTCTAATGTCCAATTTTTTCTGCATCGCTTCTTTGCGAGGCTCCGGTTTTTGCCACTTTAATTAACGGTTTTGCTAATGGTGGAATAAGAAGGAAGCGTCCAGGCTCGTTAAACGTCCCTTTCGTGAAATCTCTCTCTCTCTCTCTCTCTCTCTCTCTCTCTCTCTCTCTCTCTCTCTCCCCCTCTCCTTCTACGCACGTTAGTAGGAGATCTTTGTTATAAAGGATCGTTTGTATGCTTTCTTACAGAAGAGATAAAGATAATATATTTTTATACATATACATATGTATATGTATAAAATGCGCGCACACACACACACACACACACACACACACACACACACATACACATGTTCCAACAACGAAAAATTACGTAGAATGAAATCTGTAAATGCGAGTTAAACGTTTTTCGTTTTTGCGGCCCCGTCCAATTAATTTCTTCTTGATACGTGAACGATGCCTTTATATATAACGTATATATATTTCTTTGTGCTTTGCAGCTTCGTTTTTCCTCAGACAAGGATTCCTCTATGCGGTACTTTCCTTCATCTTTGACACTCAAAATGAAATTGGTGTATATATTCGGCCTTTCGAGGAGGAAAAAGAGAAACTGAACGGAGAGAGAAGAACGCAGAAAGTGCAATTAAGAAGAACAGATCTATAGCGGGATTTCATTTCTTTTCCGCGAACGTTATTTGGAGGTGTACCACTTAAAAGTTTGAGTGTAGTTCGTTCGTAACGTTTCTACCGCGCGATCTCGCCAACGATGATTAGTGATGGTTGTTTCTTCTCTCCGGTTCGGAGGAGATTGCAAGTTTTCGATTATATTCTCACGAGCTTTCTCGCAACTAAGTTGGGTATTTTCACTTTGACATTCAAGGAAACAAAACTAGTCGGACAATTCCGCAAAGAACAGTCGAATAACGTGATAAAGTTTTATATACGATGAAAAGTCTATTTTTATTAAATTATTTGCATTTGTGTGTGTGTGTGTGTGTGTGTGTGTGTGTGTGTGTGCATTACATCTTACGCTGCGCGCTTAATTTATTTTTGACATCATAAAGTTCGCTTGCTGGGAAATCTCTGCCTCGAGCAAATTTACGATAAACGTTGATTGATGTTACAACAGAATAGCGTACAATTACTCCCAGTGAGGAATTTACGGTATAAAATTTAACGTCATATTTTTGGAAACAGACATCGTCAGCATTACGGTGCGTTAAGCGACAAGTACATAAATATACATGCCACCTTTTCGCTTGCAAACGAGATAAATGTATTAAGAGACAACTGTTAAAAGATAAGACGAATTACTTTCTGCCGTTCTTGCGCCTGCGGCCGAGAAAATTAAAATGAACGGTAAAAGGACATTTAACGTCCAGATTAATATCCTGAACTTCACCGGTTTTTCTCCGTAATTTGTCGACGTAGTGGCTTCGCTGAAGTTATGATAAATTTGTTAAAGTCAGTCATAAAATGATAATGATCATTGTCTTCGAGTGTAAAGCAAAGGTTGAGAGATGAATCCAGCGGACTAAAAATAGACAAAGGCCACCCAGTGGTGCGCGTGTATTCAGGGGACCGTGCGACGATCGTGGAGCTATAGTGGAGAAGAAGAGAAAGAGTCAAGGATGAAAGTCGTTGTCTTCGTAGTCGGTTGGCTCGTTGAGTACCAAACGATCTGGCCGGGATCCAAGGTACCGGCAATCGATATAAGCACGCCAGCTTATGAACAATGGGCTCGAATATCGCCGCAAATAAACGGAGCCGCGCAATTTCAACTCACCCGACTCAAGCGAGCTTAACGTATATCACTAGCGATGAACAAGGAATACCTTTGTAAAGATACCGCCATGATCAAAATATCCTTGCCTCTGAACTTTTTTTCTCTTTCCTTATCCACCCCCCCCTCCCCTCTCTTTCTCTTTCTTTGAACTTTTACATGCAGATCATTCCCGAATAAGCTTCTTTATATAAAATATTCTATACTGTACTAAAGCAGTAGACCTATTACTGAGCGTTAACATAGCAAATTGTATTAAAAATTTTACATCACTTAAATTATTAATTCTGGAGTGAAAAATGTTTATGCAATATCTTTGTAGTCTTTTGTTGCGCCATCTTCAGGTTTAATTTTTTTAGATTTTACGTAATACTTGGAATTTTTAAAGTTCCAAATGTTCTATCTGCTAGTAAAAATATGCTTAATCATCGATTGCACGCACAGTATGGCCTTTTAATAAATTTTCACGGAGGAGATTTAATTTTCAGTCGACTAAATTTCTAGCATAGCAATGTGGCCGGCCAAATATATACAATCAAATCCTACAGAAGTAATTGTATCAATCGAGATAAAACGGTTTCGTCCCCCCCCCTCACACACACACACATAAACCTGTTAGATACTTAGTAATCGAATACGCACTAGATTTTATTTTTTAGTACATCATAACGTACATATCCTAAACCGGACATGTCCAAAATATACATGAAATAGCTTCTGTTGCAATGTAATCTCCATTGCAACATAATATATTTTTTATAAGTCCATTTTTATAAGTCTGTTCAACGTAACGTTCAGCGTAACGATAAAATGCGCCCTGTAATATGAAATGCCTTTACATTTGAAATAACTCCTTCACTATAGCG